CAATTGAATGCGCTTCTAGTCACCTTTATCTTTAATATAGCACAAGTTTAAAAAATACTCTTGGACAAAGATTTTAATTCTCCTCTATATACGCTGGAAAAATCTTTATGAGCTAGTCGTGGAATATATTAGTCACCTAACACCATTCCAGACTAATGTTTAAGCATGTAACGAGAGCAAATGTTTTGTTTTGATGTATAATTAAAATAGTTTTGTATATATTTATAGCTAAATGATCTATGTTTTTGCATGAATTACTTTGCCATATTAAATAAAATAAGAAATAAAATTTATTTAAGTCCAATCACTGCTCTTTTAATGTGTTACCAACTATTCAATAGCCAAATAATAGAAAAAATTTATAGTCAAATATATACATCAGTATATACATTTCTAACATAATGGAACACAGAGCTTATCGCAATATGAGATAAACAGAAGTGCAAAGTTTTGAAGGGAGGTGACGTCGGCATCCTAAAATACGAAAGTAATTGAATTAAACAAATTATACTAAAAAAATTACCATTGCTAGGCTTTTATTTGTAGTAGATATAAAAATAAGACTTTCACTAAAAATGACTTGTTTCAATTAATAAATACTTGTCACAAAGGGATAAAAGAAGCTATCTGAAATAATATTTGATTTCAACTCGAAGAAAGTGCATGCATGAGTTAATTTTATTTGTTCTATTTTGAAATATTTTTAAAAGTAAAGGCGGGCAATTTAACAATATAGTTGGAAAATATTTTTTTACTGTTATCAGAGGGATTCAGTTAAATGGACTGGCATTCGAGTTTTGTAGATATTCTTTTATAGAATACTTTGCATTAAATATAGCATACGATACAGACTATGTTACTATGATCCAAACATTTGATAAACACATATTTTGGCAAGTCGAAAGATATGAATTGATTTAGGGAGTACATGCATTTGAATTGCTGTATTATAGCAAATATTTGTTGAAATTTAGCTGATTAACTTTAAACTCACCTTGAGTCAAGAGATTTCAATCATATTCGGAGAATTAGTGCAGTTAGCTAGAGGAAAAAAGCCAAACAAAAACTCAAAATTATATGAGTCAATTCAGACGAAATATCTAATTTACCATGAAGACAAAATTGCGTTTCATAATAGTACCATAAAATTGAATGGCTTATTAAAAATCTTAATTATCAGGCAACTTTTTATTCCGGACGTCATTGTTCCACATTTCCTGAAAATCCGCCACAAATAGTTAGATTTTTGAATCTGCTCGATAGTTGATAGGAATCACCTTCTACCCGATTCATTTCTATTAGCTAAATTGCTCTTGATAGTGTGAATTTTAAACTAAGTTTAATCGGAACAGCAGCGTAAAGCTTCCATTAAAAGTGAGGTGACGTTTCTTAAGCTATATTCTTCCTAAATATTTTTAAGCCATATTGTAGTTTTGAAAGAAAGCTGCCATTTTAGTTCATAACCGAATCTGTTCTTAGACAAAATTATATTTATATAATTTCACTGCATATGCTTTTATATATTTATTTGTAATCATATTTTTACAATATTATATCAGTATATTATTTTTGTTATAATATTTAATTAATTAATCTATCTCATGCCTCCTGAAATGTTAGTCCATTTGTGTTGTAACCTCTATTATAATCCATCAAAATCTGAACCTTTACCAATAGCTTCATTGTCCAAATATTCCGATGAATCCATCAAACCAACATCGTCAATATATTTTAACCACAACTACCGTGCTTAACCTTTCTTAAAAACCCGGTAAACTCTTGTTACTTTTTCTACCCCTTCCCCTAACTTGAATAACTCGGGTCCTGCTATACTTAACAATTTACGTCATGCAGTTCCTGTCACTATAAATATTCCGAGTGAAAATGGCATCATCCGAATCAACGATCTCTCCCAACCAGTCGTGTTAACATGCTTTATCCGAGGTCAGGCTCGAGAGCTAACTGGTGCTTGGGTTCTACCTTCAGAAGTAGGTCGAGTTATAGGAAAGACGGAACGAAGCGGCAGGCCAGAGCCGATTCAGACGGTGACGCGTAATGGAGACATTGTAGATGTTAAACTAACGATTCTGCAGCCACGTAAATCGGATGCTGGGCCATACTTGTGTCGGTCAGGTGGAATGGAGAAACAGATACGCTTAGTGATAGAAGATGCTATCGGTAAGTAGTTGGCTTTATATAAGGCTCAATTCATATATTTTCGGCTAAATCTTTACAAAATCTCAATTTATCCACATTTATAAACACCGAAAACAAATTAACAAAATAATTTTATTTTTTGCATATAAGTAAGTTTTTAAGGATAGATAAATATATATATATATGATCTACTAGTAGTATCAAAAACAAACCTATAAGCGAAGAACAAATAATGTTGTATATGTTAATAGCAAATACAATTATGCTTCTTCGAAATTCCCATCACAGAATGTGGTATGAGAAGATGCCTGACCTTCATTGAAATTCGAATCTTCTCTGTGGCCCAAGAGCACTAGAGGTAATGTAGCATAATGGGCGATGTGTCGAGATTATATGCTACACTGCCATGATCCGAGTCCCGGTGCCGGTGCTGACAAGAACTATCCAAGGTCGAAATTGCAATAAACTCTGAATAAGAACAAATTTTGTGAAAGCAAGCCTATCTAAAATTTAATGGAAACGTAAGGTCTACACATATTATGTGAGAAAATTTGACTACCCCCTTATCATCATAGACGATAAGATAAGTATAAACGGTAATTTAAATCAGGCAGATAGTTATTACAATGTTTTCAAAGGCACTTTCAATATAACCGAAATATACTGGCGCAATAATTAGTGTCATTCATGGGCAAACTTTTTACTATGACAAGAGAATTTTAGGGGAATCTAAATGTTCATTTTGATGTAACTTGGCATAGAAGCCAATTTGATTTCGATTATAAACTTTTCTTCAATTATGAAGGCCTCAGATCAAATTCCCATTCTGTTCAAAATGCATTAAATTCTTGGATTTATAGAAATGCGAATTTACTTTATCTCATCATAAATAATCAGTCAATTATCAAGAAAAAATACTTGCAATGATAATAAGCTAGTCTAATGAAATATTTTGTAAGAAAAACGACTTCAGTCCTTTATATTCCAATTTGTGAGTCACCTCTGCTTATAATTAACGCCGCCATCCATAGTGACTTTCTTTTTATTTTGCTCAATTACTATTGTCATTAGTACCTATATTTTATTGATTAACTTATTTACATTGTTTTCCTTAATATTCAAGTTAACAAAATATAATATCTTTATAGTCTAGTAATTACTAAAAGCAAAGTTATAAGGTGTTACGGTAGCTTAACTTAGGAAGACATACTTTTTACAGTCAACTAATATTAAGCATATCCTCATCAAGCGATGTCAAGTAAATTTCCCATTTTCATACCTTAGAGCTAATTGCAATGCAGTTTTGCAAATTTTTATCCCTGTTCTCTCTTATTTGCTCTAGATGAAGTATTTTAGTAGATAAATTTCTATATAAAAGCGTATCATTTTTAATAACTCTGATTTATTCCAGCCCCATTAACCCTCTTTGTGACCAGTGATAATGGCATATCACGAGTGAAGGTAACAAAGGAAGAAGTATCAAAGGCATACCTCTGGAAGATCGGTAAACTTTACTGTTACTTTTTCTGCTCTTAAATCCCTTACGATTTTTATGCTTAAGCCTTAGCATGCAAATCTTTGATTGCAAACGAATGAGTTTTATTTGCTTATAAAGGCATGAACTAGAAAATTCGCATGATTAATGCATTATATAAAGGTTTACATCATCCTTTTTTATTACTGATTACCCTAGGATTCTGGAATTTCCCCTAACTATGCATTAATCAATAGTAATAAAGGCAGATTATGAAAAGGTATCACAAGGCATATATTTTGATACTTTAGGATCAAGTGCCTAATTTAGTCAGTCTTTCTCTAAAACTGAAAATATTATCCTTGGCTATAGAGAATATTTGGTTTTATTTTGCGATTTAATAGTACGGATCGCATTTCTATGAAATAAGCTCTGGTTGGTCCTTTAGAATAGAATCAACGTCATGAGCTACACATTGGTCACACACAAGATAGAAATTTAATTGTATTCCTTGCCATTGAATACAATGCAAATTGCTTAGAGACTAGTTTTTGAACCTAGTTTAAACAGCATCCAGACATTTCACCTATAATAGGATTGTTTACTTTATTAGTAAAAAGTACTAATCATGTACCTCGTTTTTTAAACTTTAGATCCATAAATTTTGACTTGCTTTCGCTTTGGCTATACAGAGAAATACATAACCAGTGAATTAATTTAGGGCTGAGTGTCTTAGTTGAAAATCAAAATCTCAACTTGCTTTTTGATTAGAAGACAGCATAGTACCCCGGATAGATATCCTTTGGTCCTTCTATGTTTTGAACACCAGCTGCTGCATGAAAACAGCAGCAATTTGATTAACATAGCCAAAGGTTACATGTTCATTATGGCATTAAATTTCACGTTGTTTCCTCGGGTGCTTCAGCCAGTTTCTTCCATAAAATAGTTAATATAAACCTAAAGGTTCTTTCTCTATATCCTGAATTTACAGCTCCCTCATTCACAGCCCGGACCTAGCATGCCAACCAGGAGAGCACTTTTGTATCCTGCTTTTATGCTTGCCATGCCTTCCCTTTTTCACTTCCTTCACGCTCCTACTTCTGCTCCGCCTTCCTCATCCTCGGATCATTCTTGTCGTCGTCCCTCACACGGGATAATATTGCCTTGGCCACCGGACCGCGGTGCTTAACCTTCACACACACACGTTAAATCTGCATCATACGCGTTGTACCACCTTTTTCACACTATTCACAATTTATCATACATCATAAACTTCTCACACTGCTTTCCGGTGTCTTCATTATTATCCGGCCTATCCGCGTTGAGTAGCGTCTAATGATGGTTCGTTTATTTCGATTTTGCTATTATATCTTTCTGAAGAATGTAACTCTGAATAAAAATTAAAAGCAAGGAATTTTATGAAGGCCTATCTTAGGAAACTTCCTTACTACAACCCATAATCTAATTTCTCTATTAATGTATTATATGTACATTTAAAGCCATTTTAGCTTAGTAAACCTACCAAGCTTTGATCACACACCATAATTTTAGCAATTTTAACTTAGTCTGTAGAAGCGATCTATGTAACCATTTATGATTGCAGAAAAGTCTCGTTCTTGAAAATAAGATTTGCAAGAATATTTAACTTGTGGCATTGAGATAAGTATAATCAGATCTTATCAATAACAATATTCTCTATAGTATAAACGAAGATATGAAGACCAAGATGGTGTGGCCTTTTGTGTGGTCGCAGTCTCCTTTCGTTGTATAGAA